AACCTCGGATCGGGAGTCGCGTTCCCAGTGATTGCAGATGTCATCGGTCGGCTTCTTTCAGCTTTCTTTCTTTTAAGAAAGTGTTCAGCTTGTTCGCCACATAGTTTTAACTCTTTCCAAGTTTTGGATGGTACGACCCCCAGAGCTTCCAGGACATCGATGGAGAGATTATTATGGCATGTTTGCAGGATGAACTCTTCTGTGAGTGGATCTCTGCAATTCATTGCTTTGTTACGGAAGCGCTTGACACATCGGTGTCATCATCGAAGAAATTGCTGAGGAACAAACTTTCCATGTCATCCCAGCAATTGACGCTCCCTGGCTTGAGACGTCGATACCAATCGAAGGCGGGCCCACGAAGGGTGCCAACGAATGACCGGACCGTTAAAGCCTCGTTTCCAGAAATCATGCCCAAATGGGACTTGAAATAAATCGAGTGCTGAGTAGGCGAGCTTTTCCCATCAAACGGTGTGAAGTTAACCAGACTGAATTTTACCGGGTACGGTATTGAATCCCATTCTCTTGGATAGGGACATGGAATACCCGTCTTTTTCACTTCTTGAGCCGTCATCAAAGCGTTGATTTTGTTTTCAAGCTCTTTCATTTTCTCGTCATCGTCCATGTCTTCATTCGAAGGACGTTGAGGAGAATGAGTTAGACCACCCCCTGTAAGAGGTGCCATTGAATCACCCCCAATATCGTTATTGGGAGGGTGCGTTAAACCACCCCCAGCGTTATTGCTATTGGGAGGTGTATCAGCCATAATGACTTCATCCACTTTTGGATCACTATCATCTGCCACCTTCTGAGTGTGGCGGCTGGATTCAGCTCGTTGACTAGACTCCGGAGGTTGAGGCCGTTGAGCTAGCAATTCCCTCATTTGTTGGATAGCCAACTCTATCTCTGTCTTCATTTCAGCTCTAATTTTTTCACGTTGTTTGGCTAGAGCTTCTTGAAGTATTTGAGCAAACTGATCAGAAGTGATTGTGAGTACTTCTCTGGTTTGCCCTGTACTGGATACCGTATCATCCGAAGCAATCGCAGAACAAGTGTCCGAGAGCTCATCCTCTATTGACATTCCTTCCTGCATTCTCTTGTAGTCTCTACGTCTGATAGCTCCTAGCTGGAGTCGAGACATCCGTCGGGTAATTCTTGAATTGACTTTTCCTCCCGGGGAAAAGTCGGTGTTTGATTCACTTGAATGCCACTTAGATTTTCCTTTATCAGCCATGTTGATGGTGACTTCAGGGAATTCATCCTCTTGAATAGCAAGCTTCTTGTTGAAACGTCTCGGTTTGGGCTTTGACATTTCGGTAGAAAGTCTCTGGAACACAGAAACTTTCGGCGGAATGGCTTTAAAGCAGCTGCATTCAGACAACACTGCTTTGATAAGTTTTTCACATACACAATGAGGACTTGTTTCTCGAACGGTCCTTTTATATGATTTGTTTCCACTTTTAGTTTGATAGTACAACTCGTCAGCATGGTGACCAGAGCAACCTATCTTTTGTTTTTGTGTTTGAACCTTGTTAACATACCCAGGATGACTTGTCGTCGCCTCTGAGCGATCCAAGATTATATCAAGAGTCATACGTTTAGAACCACCCCCTTGCGGGTGTGGAGTCTTAACGGGCTCCGAATGCTGATTTTGCACAACTCCAGACTTTGGAATCCAAACTTTGCAGAGTTTTGGTGGTTCTTTGTCCACCGTTTCCTTGTTTCTTTCTCGTCTTTGTTGTAAGAGAGAACGGGCATGAGCAGTGTTTGCACGACGCTTTTGTATTCGTTCTTTGAGGGTCGAACGAGCCCTTTTGACAAAAGTCCATTCATCCGTCGTTAGTTTAGCAAAGATATGAGTGATTGGTCGTTGAGACAACTGAAACACTCGATGCCTCCTCGATTCTAAGTCCGCATAGTAACGAACTCCATCGGTTTGTTCCAAGGCCTTAGCCAATTAACGAGCGAGGCGTTGGCGTCGCCTCTGACGAGCCCTCTTCGTCAGAGTTGGCGAACTCCGATCGAACGGCTCCTTAATTAGGGAGGAATGATCATGAGCAGAGCTTCCGGCTTTGAGGGTTGCCAGAATAATGTTGCGAGGCATGGCCTCAACAACGATTGGGTGAGAGGCTTCACTTTTAGCCTTCTCTGGCGTATAGACCTTCTTCAATGATGAGATCCTCTTGTACTTATGAGATAATGAAGATCTTGAAGAGGACGATGAGATATATTCCTCAAATTTGGTTTGGTCGAATTCATACTCGACCATGGATTCAACCGGTATCTTGATTGGTTGCGACATGACGGTCTCGGCGGCGAGACTGTTGGCTCCCACTGTGGTCGCCAGTTTGTTTTCGTCGAAAGTTGTTCTCGTTGTGGAATTCATTATATCTTCGGTCGATTACAACAAATTCAAAAGAGATAGTCTTTTTATAAGACTTCTTTTACACAACAAAATGAAAATTACAACTTTTTAGAAACAAACGCAGGATCGTTGTTTGGATCGCTGCTTGCGTGGGATCTTTGCCTGTGCCGGGAACGCTTTGACTCGTGGACCACCAAATCACAGATTCTGATTGAACCGTGAGGGGTTTAATGATTCTTCCTTCGTTTATCGAAGTAAGAATTTGAAGCGAATATCTTATCGATGTAAGATGTTCACTCTTCCAAAGATCAAGTCTGAGCTTAGATCTCTAGGACTCGCTAGAAGCTTCTTGAGGATGTTTGTGAAGAAGGAAGACTCTCTCTCTTGCTCTAATTCACCAAAACTCAAGGCTCTCTGCTCTAATCTCTCTGGAAAATGCTCAGCCCCTGTCAATGATGGCTATAGGGGGGTATTTATAGCCTCCTTAGACGATAACTGAAGAAATAGCTGGTCAATAACTGTCTCTTTAGGCGCGGCAGCTGATGATGTCGCGGCTAAAGGGCGCGACAGTTGACACTGTCGCTGTCTCGCGGGCGAGACAGTAAAGACTGTCTCGCACGGCGAGACAGTAAAGACTGTCTTTTTCTTTGATTTTTCGGTAATCTCTTTTTGAGTTGCGCTTGGATATCTTTCAGCATTTTTTGACGCCTACACACATGATTGAGTACACACCAAATTGTTGATCTTCCACCATCGTGATTTTAAGCATGTTTAGGATCACAATAGCAAATCACTTGCAATATTTTTCCTTTGTATTTGAGATTTCATAACCAGTTCCCTCAAACATACTTACATATAAAGGCAAATTGTAACCTTAGTGAGTCTCTAATCTAGAAATTAGATATGTACAAAATATACTCTTTCCATCCAATTGTTCTATTTGAATGTACTTGTACATATTCACATGACAACCACAATTAACATATCATATACAATCACAATAAATTACACCAAAATTGACCACTAAATAGACATAATACATTTTATTAATTTTTGATCTAAGTACAACCAAACCACAAGAACACATAGTATAATCAACTGAACAATGAAACATGACACGTTACAAGCAATTCTGGAGAAACTATACAAGAGTAAAGAGTACAAACAATCCTATTATAAAAATTAACATCTTCTTCCTCTTTTCTTCTGCAAGCTCACTCATTCCTTTCCTCCTCCTCCTCCTCCCAGCTGCAGCACGCCAAGAGCTTCGCCGCCCCTCATCGAATCAAACAACTTGCAACACTCCTTATAATCCTTCCCCTTCGCATACAAAGCTAACATTACCTTCCAAGAAACCGAGCTCTTCTTAGGCATCGAGTCGAAAAACCCACGAGCAAGTGCAATGTTAGCATCCCTCGCATACTTATCAATCATCGAATTCCACGTAACAACATCCCACTTTGGCATAATAGAAAACAGTTCCCTCACCTTCTCCATCATTCCCACACTCGCGTAGCCCCCTATCATAGTGTTCTAAGAAACCAAATCATTGTCACGCATTTCGTCGAACAACTCCCGTGCACCCTCCACCATCCCATTCTTAACACACTTGTTGATCATCGAGTTCCAAGTAACAATATCAACCTCCTCAACGAAACCCTCAAACAACTTCCAAGCGCTACCCAGATGGCCAAAGCAAGCGTACATATGAATCGCCGAGTTCCGAACATACAAATCCTCTTCAAACCCCAGCTTCACGATCTGGGCACGTAACAACATCTCGTTTGGAGCAAGACCGAGGTGAGAGAACAGCTTGGCAAGCAGAGGACTTGGGAATTAAGGAGGAAGGACTTGATGACAGTGTTGAAGATGAATGCGTCGGGGTTTGGGAGGAGAGAGAAGAGGGAGGCAGCGAGGTGAGGGGAGGGCAGAGAGAAGGCGACGTGTTTGATTAAATGTCCGATGAGGAATGGATCGTGATAGTGGCTAGAGGTGAGGAACTAGGCGAGGACTTGGGAGAGAAGGGGAGGGGAGTGGATGAAGGAGACGAGGGCGTTGATGATCGGCGGAGGGTTTTGTTTTTGTTGAAGAGAGAAGAGCGAGAGAGAGAGAGAGAAAGCAAGAGCAATTTTGAGTTTTCAAATTATGTTGCTCTCTGTGCTGTCTGGGGAATAAAAAAAGAGGCTGAAATATTATTACTTTATGTAATAAGAGCTTTAGCACACCAAAAAAAAGTATGAAAAGCCTGGTTACATCGCCTTTATTTTTGGGAGGCATAGACACAATGTTTTCAACTTTAAAAGTTGATTCTATGAACGTAATAAATACAAAAAGCCCCGGATAAAAGAGAGAGAGGCCCAAACTCCAAAACCCTGACTTTAAAAAAAAACCCCAAAACCTCCGCTCTCGCTTAGCATCGCGCAAATGGCGGCAATCCTCCTAAGGTCCCCAGCAATCCTCACCTCTATCAACTCAATCTCAGCCCCCAAACCCCATCATCGCCCTAAAATACCCTCTTCTTCGAGAATTAGACCCCCTTGTCTCTTTCACAAGGGTGAGGTTACGAGCCGTCTTGGTTCTGGTGTTGTTGGGCGTGCTGGAGCGGGTTCGGGCTTTGTGCGGGTTGGTGCGGTTTCGGATGCGGGTTCGGGTACGGGTGGAGGATGGGGATTTGGGTGGTGGTGGTGGTGGTGATGGAAGCGGGGATGGTGGTTTCTCTTTCTTGTCATGGTAAAGTTGCCTTCTTTGCCCTCTTTTTTTTTCTTCTTTACCCTCTTTTTTTCAATTTTTTTTAGAAACAATTGTTGTTAATGTTCAATAGTTTCACCAGTGTGAAGCTCAATTTTGACTATTTGATCGCCCAAAGTGCAAAGCAGTTGAGCTTCTGTTTTGTTTATGGATATCAATTAGCAACATAAAAACGTGATCGAGAAACAAGTTTTCGCCCCAATTTTCAGTTTTTGTGGGGAAGGAAGTTAGGGATTTAGGGTATCAAATTGTCCAATGAGCATTAATTTGAAAACTTTTGAGATATCAAGTTATCAAAATAGAACTTAAGGGTATCAAAGTTAAGAAAAAAGGGCAAAACTCTGGGGTATTAAAGCGCAGTGAAGCCTTTTCTTGGAAGTAACTGTCGTTGGAGTTCAATAACATGAAGAGTAGGGTTGGCTTGGATTGATCTTATCCAGCTCAGTATAGACTAAGTAGAAGAATGTGAGATGTGTCTGATTTTGAGGAGTGGTATGCACTTTTGCAGAAGAAGAGTTATAGAAAAAGTTGGCAAATTTTGAAAAACAATTTCAAAAACAATGGAGTTGCTCTCTTTTCTCAATGTACCATAATCGATGAGCCAGAATTTTGAACAGTGGGTGATGGTTTTCATTATAGGTAGATGGAGCCTTGCAGAATTTCAACTTTCTAACCTGTGATAGCATTTTTTCTCTTTTCCTCAATGTATCATTATCGACTAGTTAATTCACGTGTGCATGAAATATGAGTACAAGTATCGGCTACGATATGATATGGACATTTGGATACAGAAAACTCCAAATTTTTTTAGGTTAGTCATAGATATGATAAATTAATTAAGTAGTAACTTTACATATTTAATAAAAATGATAATACAACCATGAAACAAGCGTCAAATCTACCATGAGTTTATAACCTTTCTCTGATCCCGTGTTCTGTTGGAAAATTGACTACAACTAGTTGTAGTAAAGTAAATAGACTACAACTAATATTCTTCATAAGCGATGTTGATAGAAATCCATCATATTAGAAATAACGGTTTTTTATGCCTTGTTTCCCTATTTTCTTAATGAATATGTATTGTGTTGGCATTGAAAGACTGTCCTTCTCAACAATTAACAATATCAGTAATTATTTCAGGAATTTAACCAAAGCATACCACAGATTGTTTTCATCCCTGAAGAGTTCTGTCCAGCTGATATTCCATACTTCTTATTTCTTTGTCTTCTTATTCTTCTCACTTTTGAAGTTTATTAATCTCCAACCTAATAGGTTTCTGCTTTTCATCATTAAAGTAGATGGTATAAGTACCAGCATAATACCTATTGTATATGTAAGATAAGAATTAGAGATAATATATAGATTCTTGACTTACGAGGGAAACACAAATTGTTTTCGGGAGAATGTTCCTTGGAAACGAGCAATATATCCTTTGGCAATTTTTTTCTTGTTTATTAAACTTATTGAGTGTTTTTTTTTTGCTTAATCGCGTGTTTTTTTCCTTGTTTGTTAAACTTATTGAGATTTTTTTTTCTTGTTTATTAAACTTATTGAGTGTTTTTTCCCCTTGTTTATTAAACTTATTGAGAGTTTTTTCTTGTTTATTAAACTTATTGAGTGTTTTTTTATTGAGCAACATTTCCTTTAGCAATTTTTTTCTTGTTTATTAGACTGACTGAGTGTTTTTTTCCTTGTTTATTAAACTTATTGAGTTTTTTTTGTGGCCTAGGTTTTCAATTTAGCTTCTTATTCTCATTCAACTTGGCTTAAATTGCATGTGAAGGCTACTTGAATACTTTTTACTCCAGCCTATATGGAAAGCCACCTGTCTTGTTTCTTAGGCAGGAAGTGAAACTTATAGAGGTTGTGATCAAATTGTCAGACAGTCGCTATCACTTGGTCCTTTTTTTTGTTGAGCTTTCTCTTCTATGTGTCAACTCCATAGCTTAACCTCTTTTCCATGGCTTCCTCTTTTATGTGTCGTTTTCATAGCCGAACGCAGTCCATATCCATACTTTTTTGTTTGTTGGTTTCTCCTTGGGAAGGGCAAGTTTACATTTTAACAATCTATGCATCCATGATTGATATTCTGTTAGTATTTCAGGTATTTGACGGCTCTTGACAAGTACCCAGTGGCAACAAAAGCTATAACCTCTGCAATTTTGACGCTCATTGGAGATTTAATTTGCCAAGTACTGCTTATTCTCCCCTAGCTTCATTTAACTTTTTGATGAAACACTAATATTGGATTGATGTCATAAAATTTTCTATCTGCAACTTATTGGCTTTAGTATTTCAATGTCATTTTAGATAATAATAATATTATTAATTTTCTCTTTTTTTTAATAGAAAGATAGATATCATTAAATCAAAAACATGTTACATGATTCCGCCTCTCATATACTTTGAGAGCTAGCACATCATGAAGTGAGACATCCCTCACTTATACAAAAGAATACCCCATACAGGTAAGTATTATACCAAATACATATGAGCTATAAACAGGGAAGCTCCTGAAATAGAAAAGACATAACAGAAAAACCAAAGGACCCGTTCTCAGCTGTTGTGTCCACAACTTGTTACACATCCAATTGCGGGACAATGACAGATAATGAGCTATTAATTCCCAGGACGAGGTCCAAGAAGCAGACTGGCCGCTGTTGCTGAACCCAAACAGACACCAACCCACAGTCCCATCTTAGACATCGTCACAAAAGAAAACTTGCACCAATATTGAGCATATGAAAGCAACGACCAGTCGATGCCATGCCAACTGCATAGTTGCTGCTGGAGAAATAACAAAGGAAACCGTCGAGAGGGACATTGGGAGTCTCTTAACACCATATAAACACATTCAGCTACCACAAATTCAGCTCCGCAAGCATAGAAGCCAAAACAGAACTTCCAAACCTGTGCACAAACTGACATAACTGTTACCTCTGCCTATGATCACTTATCATGATCGTGGTGCCAAGAAGAAATGCATATCTAATACTTGCAAATTATGATGTTTCTCTGCGAGTGTGTAAAACAAGCCTATGATCGCTTAATCTCAACTTAATATCTAGTTATATCATAGTTACAACAGGAAGCTTATGAAAATGGCCAAAATCTTCAGAATTGTGAACTGTGTCTGCCAGTTGGATTCTGGGTTGCTTTATGCATAGTGTCATTATTGTGATTGTTTCTATATCTTGAACATTAAGTAACCACTTTGATGATAAATTTTTTCTTTGTGCTGAAAATATTTGTTTTACTGTCCTTGAGGCCTAACTCAGGTGTTAAAGGGTTAAGATGGATTGTCAGAGTCCTAGGCTTACGTCCAGGATGCAGTCTTTGTTCAAAAAGATGGATTGTCTAGAGTAGGAATCCATGATGTGAGTCGTTCCAATAATGAAATAGCTATTTATTCAAAAGTGATGCGAACTAGAGTAAACTCTGACATTGATATTGATAAACTTATAAAATTTGATTGTGACTTGTAAAGATTCTAGGATGTTAGTTTCTATTGAGAATCTCAATTGAAGACAAGATTTTTTTGAAACTCACTTTGAAACTCGCTTCAAAATTTTTTCACGGGTAAATGCTTTGAAACACTTGAGTGAATCTTTGTCACTTGAAGCTTACACCTCATTGCTTAAAGCATAACTGAAGTGTGAGTAAAGTGCTTCTCTTTTGAGGCGCACGGTTTGACAAGATAGAATGGTATAAAAGGATTAAAAGGATTTTTGACTAATATTAAAATGTCTCAATGTATCTTTAATATGACCATGTGAGTGTAAATAAGATATATGTTAATGCATGTAGCTTAGTTTATTATGATTTGTGTCTATACTTTACATATTTAATTCTTATTTACTAGTTACTAATGAGGACATGAATGTATCTATTTGTCAATTATGTTCATAGTTTTTACAGACTTTAAAGTTAAAAATTCTACAACTCACGAGGCTTATGCCTCACACTTTGAAGCTTACACTTCACTTCATTAAAGGGTCTCACGGTTTGCCTCGCGCTTCCAATTTTTTTAAAATTGACTGAGATAAGTGGCTAAGCACCTTGTTTTGTTGATTAGTGAATTGAGATTCATTTCTATATGGTTTCATCTTAGGTGATATAAGAGTTATGTGGTAGAAAGAAATTTCTAATCAATTGTTTGCATATTTTGAAATATTAATTTTATGTCAGAAACTATGCTTATAAATATTGGTGCTAACTAATGTCAAATAAAGGATACAAACAACAACAACAATTAAGCCTTTACCCCAAATGTTTGGAGTCAGCTTCATGAATCATATTTTCCATTCCATTTTGTTATGGGTCATCTCCGTTAAGTTAGTCTTAATCATATCCTTCTTAATTGCTTCTAACCAAATCATTCTAGGTCTACCTCTAGATCTCCTAGGTTCCTAGCCCCATTAACTCTAATATTATCGTTTTTTCTAATCAGTGCACTAAGGGGTCTTCGTTGTACATGATCAATGTTACAGAAGACGCTAGACGGACTAGGCGTTTCAGCCAGCGTCTAGCGCTTAGACGGTAATCTTAGATCCATTTTAAACCATGCATAATTAGATACTAAATAGTCAAAATAAGAACTATGTTATAGAAAGCACTAGGAGGCTTAGGCATTGGACTCGATGCCAAGAGCCTATGAGTTTTTTTATTTTTAATTATAATAATTGATAGTAAATGTCAATGTTATAGAAGACTTAGGTGTCAAACTAATGTCTAGACGGATTTTTTTCTTCATTTAAGTGACGGTCGAGGAAGTTTTGCTGAAGGTCGGAGGAGGTAGTAGAGACGTTCATATTTGGAGGTTAAAGGAGTTTGGAGGAGGTTGGAGGATGTGGAGGCTGCAACACAGAAAATCATGATCAATGCCTAAAGGGTGTAGTTCACGTAAGCAGAAAATGCTTCACTAAACACTTCTAAAATCTAGGTGGGTAGCTTAGCTACCGCCTAGACGTTAGGGACTGCTGGCTAGTTAGGCGGCCTAGGTACCGCCTAGGTCTAGGCGTACACCTAGACGGACTAGGCAAATGTTTTTTTAAAACAGTGTACATGATCAAATCATCTTAATCTATTCTCTCTCATTTTATCATCAATAGGAGCAACCTCTAATTTACTACGGATGCACTCATTTCTTATCATATCTTTTAATGTATACCTACAAGATCATCGTAACATTCACATTTCTGCTACATTCATTTTTTAAACATGTTTTTTAATTGCTTAACACTCTAATCCATAAAGCATATTTGGTCTTATAACCGTCCTATAGAATTTGTTCTTTAGTTTCATTGGTATTCTACGATCACATAAAACTCCCGAAGCACTCCTCCATTTCAACCATCTCGATTTGATTCGATGCACAATATCATCCTCTATCTCACCATCATGCCTCATGCTGATTCTAAATAGCGAAAATGATTAGTTTTAGGTATTTCTTGGCAATCAATATGTACCATAGTTTCTCTTCCTTTCCTAGTTTTACTAAAAATGCACTCCATATATTTTGTTTTGGGATGTGACGGATGTCTAATTTGGATAGGATGTCAAATTTGCATAGGATGTCTAATTTGGATTTTACAAAGGATGGGATGTCTAATTTGGATTTTACAAAGATTTAACAAAAGATGATTCTTCTACTTTACTTGTGGGGTGTTGTTATTTGATTGGCTTGTAATTATTTTATTTTGATAAAAATTTGAAATTTTTCCAGCTAAATTCATTGGCCTAGTTTGAAAAAAAGAAAAAGAAACCGAGTTTAGGTATAGTCTATATTTTTTATGTTTTTTTTTTAAAATTTATTACATATCAGAAGTAAGCTATTGTGACTTAGTTTTACTTTACTTGGGGGTGTTGTTATTTGATTGGCTTGTAATTGTTTTATTTTGATAAAAATTTGAATTTTTCCAGCTAAATTCATTGGCCTAGTTTGAAAAAAAGAAAAAGAAACTGAGTTTAGGTATAGACTATATGTTTTTATGTTTTTTTTTAAATTTATTACATATCAGAAGTAAGCTATTGTGACTTGGTTTAAAAATTTTGGTTTTTTCAGTCCAACTGTTGTGATTTAGTTTATGAAGTTATTTAGTTTGGCTTCTCGATGTTGGTTTGACTTATGACATGCTTGACTCGTCCTTCACTGTTTCATGTGTTCAGTTTGTGATTAATAGAGTGACGAAACTGGACCTAAAGCGGACATTTGTTTTCACCTTCCTGGGACTTGCATTGGTGGGTCCTACACTGCATTTTTGGTAAAAACATCTATCATTTCCTTCTTAATTTTCTTGTTACTGTTTTTTGCACGTCGGGTATGGGTCTTCTATTGTCCTATGTCTATTTCCATGATAGCACAAAGGGCTTTGACTGGACCATTTATTGGTCTTTTTTGTTTTTCATATTGGTTTGGCATGTCTTCCTGGGAGTTTTCAGTCTCAAGAGAGAAATCCATGTTGATTGATAGCTGGTCACAATTCCTCTTCTTACAGTGCTTCAAAATTAGCTGAGTAGAATTATAAAGAGATTTAAAAAGCGAATATTTGGCAACTATTTTTCAGAAGAAAAATGCAAATACATGACTACACATAGGGAGGAGAATTACATACCATAGATGGAGAGGTGCTTAGTTATTGTAGCTGCCACTTATGGAATCATGCAATGTCTGTGATCAGCATTTGACTGCTGCACACACTAGTGAAGGGACTGCAGTTAACCTGTCGCCAACTTTGTTCAACTGTGTCTTTGTTTACCTTATAGTAGATGGTTTTGATTCATTCCACAGTCTCACTTCAAACAAGAATTTCAAAACCATAAGACTGGTTAATAGTAGTCTTCTGTTGTTGACTTGGAATACAGATTATAAGAGCTAGAAGTTTTATTATAATTCTTTTCCTGTTATCGTGTCGAACAATCTATATTGCAGGTTAATGAGAAAGGATTGCTACATACTACGAAAGTGGGCAAGCAGTTAGGAAGGTCAAAGTGGCTAACTAGTTTTAGAGTAAAAAGAATATTATCCGAAAGATACTTTGGTGTACTCTCTGTGCTTTTATGAATTGCATCCATCTTTGAACGCTCATGGATTATCTGATATTCTTTGGGGAAATTTCTGGCAAGGTGCAACCATTTTGGTTACAATATGAGCCCATTTTTTACCAATCTTAAAAAATGGAAACAAAAATGAAAATCAGGTATCTTTGTGGAGATATTAAAAACACATTTAAGGCATTTTGTTGGATGAAACTTGATCTGTACAAGTTTTTATGGATCTAAGTTGCAAATTCTGGAATGCATATAAGATGCACAGGGAATTAAGAGACTGATAGCATGTCTACATATACTGGTTACATGATGTAATAGTTTATTTGCAGAGTGAAGTATATTAACACTAAAGGAATATGCTTGATCTGTGTAAAATATATACAGATGTACACATTGTTAGAATAGTAAGTTAGAATATACTTTTGTAAATTATAATAATGTTCGATCTGTATTGATAAAGCACGTATCATATCTATTAAGATTTATGATTTTTCCCATAATAGTCCCTTAAATCTTTAATATTTTGAAATGAGTCCCTCAAATCATTAGGTTCTCCAATTCTTGTAAGTTGTCTGAAAACTAGTCCTTCAAATGCTATTATGCCCCACATTCTTATAATTTATTCAAATTAATCTCTCTAATCAAAGGGTAGTAGCAACAAGTTATAAAAATAGGGGACCTAATAGCAATTGCAATTACTTGAGGGATTATTTGCAAAATATTAAAGATTTGAGGGGCTAATATATCGAGAAAATCTTAATATTTATAATCTGAATGAAGTTTGGATTTATCATTTCTTTATGCAAGTTGAATAGTCTTGACCCAGGATCTTTGGTCTCTTAGAATACACACACAGTTATTGTAATAAGAACCAAGGGCGTATTAATATTATTTGTTGACTTTACTGATTGGACTACTTGATCTTGAATGAACTGAAGATTCTTTTGCAGGTATTTATCTTTGAGTAAACTGGTCACAATGCCCGGAGCATCGGGTGCGTTCTTGCGCCTTCTGCTTGATCAGGTACTGAGACGTGAAGCCTATGCAAATAAAATTTTAATTGTACCTTGTCAAGGAATGGATGTTTGTATAACATTCATCAGTTGTTCTACAGTTTGTCTTCTCTCCTATCTTTATAGGAGTTTTTTTATGTTCACTTGTCACCTTGGAGGGAAGGCCTTCTCAAGTAGTCCCAAAGCTTCAGCAGGTGAAGATTACTTTGTTTCAGCTGCTAGAGCTTTAGTTATGCAATGTGCACATGTATTTATTTCATACACATGTTCGTACAGGAGTGGTTTTCATCAGTGCTGGCGAATTGGCAATTGTGGATACCATTTCAATTTCTCAATTTCCTGTTTGTTCCTCAGAAATTACAGGTAAGGTGCTTGTCAGTGTCAGTAATCATAAATAGGACCTTGTTAGATTCAAAATATACATGAGACATTTTCATTTATTTGGTGCCTTATATGTGTTGGTGTGAGTTTACACTGTAAACCAACTTGTAATTCTTGCATAATGCAGCACCACTCAAGTTTTTGATAAATCCTTTGATTTTTGCATCAAGAGAATTACTACTGATGATTTTTGCAGAAAACAACAATAGATCATCGGACAATGTCCACTTTAATTGGCTCAGACATGTATTTACTTTCATGCCTGTCCTTTTACCTTAAGTTTATGACCGCATTCACAATGGCAGGTTCTTGCAGCAAATATGGTGGCCCTTGCATGGAATGTAATTCTGTCGTTTAAGGCTCACAAGGAAATCATCATCAAATAGGTTTGTCCCTTAACTTTTCTTTGATGGGTTTTGGAATGTGAGTACTGAATAGGTTTTAGAGTGGGTCTTATATTAGCTTATCAGATTCTAATGTGAATTTTTTCACAGATTTTGCTTTCAAGTCGTTTAAGTCTCTTTTAGATGCAGCCATGTTCCTGGCCAACCTATGAGTTGGACCTGGAGAAGAATCTATCCGTCTTCTTAGGCACCATTTCTTTAGTATTTATAATTGTAATCTTGCTTGTAATTAGGTTCATGTCATGTAGATCTGACTAGTAGCACAACTCTCCTCCATCGTAGCTTGGGACATGTAGTACTGACAATAAATAACACAACACCTGAGTCTTCCTCATAATATGTAACCCCAATATAGTCAGAATAAACCTGAGAAAATTATCTAGTTCAAAGAGTTTGACTGTAGGCTACTTCACTTTTTCCATTGTTTCTAGTTTTCAACTACTTTGTTTGGGAGTTCACTGACAGAGGGGAGGGGAAAGGAAGAGAAAATACAATATCTTGTTTGGGAGTTACGGTAAGGGGAATGAGGGGAACTTATTTCACCCAGTTTAGGAGTTTTAATAAGGGGAAGGGTAGGGAAGGAAATTAATGTAAATTCAAGTCTCAGACATTGGATTGATCTTGACAGGAGGGCAAACTTTTCCCCGCATGACAGTCTTTTTTCATCAGTTCCCTCCTCTCTATTACCCCCTGATTTTTTAAGGTGAACTTTCTTGCCTCCATCAACTTCTCCACCCCTCCAT